AAAAGCATCCAAAGAACAAGGTAGAAAGAAAGACAGGATGGCGTTGAAAGTTGATAAGCCAAGCCAAAGGACGGCGACAAGGAAGATGGCAGCCATTAAGAAGAAGATATCCAGTATACTGAAAGACAGACTGAAGTAAGGAACGCAAGCCCCAGGACCAGGAAAGTCTAGGTGGAGAGGAAAGCTCAAAAAAGAGAATGAGTGCACGGATGTAACGCTATACGTATTATGAAAGGTAGGTATAGTTGAGGGGTTGTTGCATAAAGCCTCGATAAAGTCTCTTAAGAGAGTCGTCTTAATCCCTCCATACTATGTTCCGAGTTTACCCAACTATGACTTAACGAGAGTCGAGATAGCCTTGTCTTCGGGTGTGCTTCATCTCATATATATGCCTGCTTCATAATTGAATGTCAACCTTTCATTGGGTGTCCGATGAGACTAGAGTCGAACCTAACCGTTGAGCTCGAGGGTTGTGTATGTACCCCACTGGGTAGAACAAAGGGTCGTAGTTAAGTATACAAAGGAAAGGGATAGTTGCCTTCAGGTAGAGGGTCAACCCGGCTAGCACGCTAACTATAACATTCTACCAAGATCCAGAAAAAGAGGGTCGAAGGCTCGAGCAAGGAAGGGTGGCGAAGGAAACCCATAGTGAGAATGTGGGTATCCAGACTCGAGAAAGCAGGAAAAGCCATGCCAGCAAGATCGATAACAGAAGACCGGATAAGATTGAAGTATGAGCGCAAGCTTTTACTGCAAAAGCGAGCCACCAGCTGGAGGATCAAAAAGGTAGGTCGGTCGAATGAGGGAGAGCCAAGCCAGAGTCTCAATAATCAGACTACGTCTTAAAAAGGATGGAAGGGTGGGGGATCCTGTGTGACCATGAAAATGGTTGTCATTCTAGTACATAGAAAGACGATGGAAGTCATTCCGTTCGTTTCTTTCTCCCATTATTTCAATACCCGGTTAGAATAGCTAAGCCCGCCTCAATTCTATTTGTATATATTATCAAGTCTGCACGTTACCTTTCTTTACCGTTTGCCATTTAAGGGGGAGGGAGTCTTGGAACTCTAAGTCGACGAGAAGAAACTATTCCCTCTCTGTCCCAATACCATATTCCCTCCGAAAGAAAATGCTAATGCCAACTATATATACTTAGTAGCACTAATGTAGCTAAATGAGAAAGCCTCTCTCTTATGGCTCGCCCGGGATCTAAGCATATTGAAGTTCAGAAACGACTCCCTGCAGGCCAATGAAAGCTGTCAGTTGTGGACATGACTACTATTTAGCTAGGGTAAACTAATTGTCTAAGATAGTGGCCGTCCAAAAGAGGGAATAAAGGTCCGGAGATTCTTTCCTATATGTACTCTCCGATTCTCCTTCATCATCTTTTTGCACTTTCTTTATTGTACCTTTTTTGTTGTCCTTCATTTTGAGTAATCAATCATTCCGCTTTTCTTTCTTATTACTTTGTCTTGACTTGTCTTGGTGAATCAACCAGAACCCAATGAATAATGCGGGTCTTCGTTCAAGTATTTCCCAGGACTTTTAGGTAAAATGAAAAGCAGCAAGCCCATAGCATAGGAAGTTGTAGCTCAGTCTATCTTTCTGCCCAGAATGAATGCCCAACGGAACCTACTCCACTGAATCGAGGTACTTTCTCGTTTTTGGCATAAAACCCAACAATTGCTTAACGAATGTATCTAAGGCTATCAGATATACCGATTTTCTTTAGTGAGAAATTTGGCCGAAAAGTGCTTGAAGCTGAAGTTCTTGTACCCTATTTGAAAACTGTAGGATAGCGGACCCATATGAGTCCAACGATTATCGCTGAACCGTCAAAGCCAGGCCAAAAATAGGAGTAAATCAAATAAGGATTCAGTATTTTTTAGATGTACAAAGACAGTTGCAGCTGATGATCGAGATTATTCCGAAGAAAGCCTGAGGGCACTATTCCTAGGAGCTCTTGCACATGATCTTTTGACTCTGCTTCCTTCCTTATTTCACTGATGCTTTAGGGACAACCTATTTCATGAGTTTCTCACCCTCGAGTACAGAGCTCTTTCCTTTCGGATCTTGCTTTCCCCCCCAACATGGAAGACTGAGATTCGTAGTCTACTTTGCTTTCAGTGTGCGTTTTTAGCCTAGTATGTAGACAGAATTGCTTTCCAATTAAGAGGAGTGAGTTACTCTGTCATTAGCTATCCCTCGGATTCCCTTTGTTTTTTCTTGCCTAGGTTTCTCAGATGATTTCCTTTGGGATGCCGAAAAGAGATCAAAGCTCTCTCTTCTGACGATGGTTGGAGTTTACGTCAGTCAAAGTGACTTTTTTTAAAGGCTAAATAAGAAATGTTCAGACCTTCGCTTGATTCAGCCTATGGGAAAAGACAAAACGAGGATGATCATCTGATTGTACCCGATCCTTTCCTTTCTTATCTGGTTTCAAACTCTCTTGAAAGGGGCCAGCTAACCACTCGCTTAAGAGTCAAATGGTTTTTTGAGTGCATTTAATCAATCGATCCTTGGTTTACGTGTGTAGGATGACTCCCCTCTGGTGAAGGGATCATTTTCAAAAGCCGAAGGCAAAATGCCAATCAAAGAAACCGGACTAGCCAAAGGGCCGAAAAAAGCGAAAAAACAGGTAGGGGGGAAGTCGTTGGATTGTTCGCTTTGAGAGGATGCCTTTTTTATCCTTATGTGGTACTCGACCGACTATACTTTGATTACTTTTGTTTTCCTTGATTATCAGCCTTTTTCTTTGAATCAATCTTCAAACCACCAGATCTTACTGAAGAAAGGAAGAAGTCGCACAATCTTGTAATCGTTCATTTGTCCATGATTCGAGTCAAATCTACCTTCCCAAAATGCTTTTTTTCACTGCACACTTTCTGTTCAAAAACCTCATCCGATCCTGGTCTTGACTCTGATGTGTGGTATTCATTCTCGTTCGGCTCTTGGGTCCAAAAGCTCCTTCTTGCCACAGACTTTTTTCAATAAGTTTTGATTGAGTTAATGCCTTTTAAAAAGAACAAGAAAGAATAGACTCTACTCGAAGATGGCACTAGGAGTTGTCTAATCGCCCAGTCCCAAACTCTTCTTCCTGAGGCCGGCCTGGAATTCTGTTCGGAAAAAAACAGAGTGACAATTATCCACCCCCGCTAGGGAGAATTGGCCCACCATTTTCCCCCTTCTTTTTTTCTTCTTTGTTGGATCGTAACTTAGCGCGAGAAAATCTTCTAGAGAGCATGCCCAAAATCGAATTCCAAAGCTTTCTTCACACTTGCTTGATAGAAGGACACCTTTTTATGTTTAGAGAGTCAACTCTGTCCACTCCAATTCCATTTCCATTGGCGAGAGAAAGGGTAGAGCTGCAAAAAAATCTATGAAAGACAAAAATCAGATTTGTGGATTTTAGTAGGATTTATTCTCATGATGTAGAAAGGGGCATGGTCAACGATCACTCACGTCACGGGCGGGCCTCAAGACAATTCCCGCTAAACTCTTTCCTCTACGCTTCTTGGGGATTTCTTCTCTTCGATAAAAAACTCTTTGTTTGGAGAGAATTCCCCTTACTCGACTTCCATTCTTGATCCACTCACAAATCTCTTCTTTCTTACACTGGTGAGAGGCAGCTGCACAACAATTTGCTCATTTGTTGAATGAGACTGAAACCTTCTTTCTTCGATCGGGGAATAAGATAGCCGAAAAAGAATTAATTATTTCATTTGTCTTGTGTAGATGATAAAGGAAAAGTCGTTGGTAGGAAGGAATAAAGAAAGAAATCAAATTCCGAGAGGCTGAATTCAGTGCTTCTTTAGGATCCCGGAGAAGATCTTGGGGGACAAGGGAACATCCAGGTACTTGATTATCAAAATAGAAATTGTCTCATCTGGTTTGAACCAATAGAATTGAATAAATTGGGAGCAGAAAACGGGTCACGATTTGGGACCAGGACGATGTCGACAAAGCCCAAACAGTTGAGTATGAGGATTTTGGGGAAAAAGATTAACAGAATTAGGGTTCCATTTTGACTAATCCAATCCAAAATTGCATCAAAGTGAAAAAACCGATATAGAAACCAAAATCTTGCAAAACTCTAACCTCAGATTCTGCATCCCTCTCTCCTGTGGTATTCCATCACAATTCTGTCAAATGTCCAGGCCGTGTCTCTGTCCCAGTGTGGCCCTTTATCTTAACTGAAAGGGGCGAAGAATACTTTCCAGGATAAGAGACAAAATCATATGAATTCACTCTTTCAAATGAAGAAGAACCACACAAAATTCTCTTTCTTCATCCCCGCCTTAGGAATTGCCAAAACATTTGATTCTTGTGCACACTGTTTTTCAGCCGAAAGACTGATTTTTTCATATTCGATTTCAGATTGTGGCTACGACTTTCCAGAGGAAGGGCTTTTCTAGTTTCCTTTTTTTTGTCGAGATTGGGTTGGTGTGAAGCGTCAGTACAAGATTGAAAAGAATGCTACGCATTCCAAATGAGATGCCCAAGATAAAAGGAACGAGGGGAAGAATCTACGGGGAATCCATAACATCAAATCATGAATCAAAAAGCATGACGATCATTCTCAACCCGAGATGTTAGAAGGTGCAAAATCAATGGGTGCCGGAGCTGCTACAATTGCCTCAGCGGGAGCTGCTGTCGGTATTGGAAACGTGTTCAGTTCTTTGATCCATTCCGTGGCACGAAATCCCTCATTGGCTAAACAATCATTTGGTTATGCCATTTTGGGCTTTGCTCTAACTGAAGCTATTGCATTGTTTGCTCCAATGATGGCCTTTTTGATCTCATTCATATTTCGGTCGAAGAAAGAAGGGTTCAGTCTCATAAAGCAAGACCTCTTTCAAATAAAAAAGTAGAGGCGGGCTTGGGTACGATCTAACTAAAACGATTCCACATGAAAGAGGACCAGACAATAGCCTTCGTCGAGTAATGGGATGCGGGCTAGTCCCCAAAAATGCTCGTTCCTCTAACGTTGGGGTTGACAATTCACCTTGTGACTCATTCCTTCGAGCGTTCTTCGGATGTCGATCAATCTATCACAGGCCGCTCTGTCATTGTCTGATTTTTTGTTGTCTGATCACAAAAAAAATTATGTATCTACTTATCGTCTTTTTGCCCCTGCTCGGTAGTTCCGTAGCTGGTTTTTTCGGACGTTTTCTAGGATCAGAAAGAACCGCTATAATCACCACTACGTGCATTTCATTCTCTTCGATCTTATCTTTTTTTGCTTTTTATGAAGCCGCACTGGGAGCTAGTGCTTGCTATCTAAGAATTTCTCCATGGATCTCATCGGAAATGTTTGATGCTTCTTGGGGCTTCTTTGGCGACCGTGAAGTCACCGGATGAATTTCCGAGTAGATAGATCAGATCCGAACGCGGTGCTCCGCGGCGATACGGACTCGACCCGCTCCTACCCATCCCGGGGTACCATAGCATGTCGGGAATAAGGGGGGACATACTGGACGTAATCACTCCTTTGGTTGGGGGATGTGCCACCCTGCCTTTACGATCGATACACAGTTGAGTAGGCCGATCATGAACACTACTGGTGTGGGAGCGATCCTGGTCAGGGAAGGCTAAGACGGCACCTCGCATATGGGTAGCAAGAGGGTGCTTATGCCCCGACGGTGGGGCCTTATGGGGAAGGGCCCAGCCCAATAGGAACAGCACACCCCCCACTTCAAGCGCACCTCTGTATCGACTTTTTCACTCTTTCTAGTCGGTGGAACCGGTGAACCACGCGAGCAGGTTAGATGCGTGGGGCAGAGGGCTGGTAGTACCCCTTTTTCTTGATCCAGCCTTTTCTTTGCTGAATCACCTACTAACTAAAAGGCAGGCCTACACCCTGAGACTGACTACTAAGGTAGGCGGTGGACTCTTTCATTAAAGAAGGTAAGAAGGGGCCTAAGCACGACAGATGTCGTACATACACTTGAGTGGCAAAGGAAAGCCAGATCGTACCTCTTTTTCCAGGCCTGTTCGGACATACGGTTCCCGTGGAAAATCAAGTTGGTGAGCCGTGTGATGGGAAACCTTCCCGCACGGTTCGGAGAGCACTGAATTAGAATGAGAGGTTCACCACCACATCATTGCATGCAAGGGGAGCTCGCTCGATTCGCAAATTGGTCCGACTCATAATTCACTTCTGACTCCGTGTTTGATAGCCTGACCGTAGTGATGTTAATTGTGGTTACATTCATAAGTAGCTTGGTTCATCTTTATTCCATTTCATATATGTCTGAGGATCCGCATAGCCCTCGATTTATGTGTTATTTATCCATTTTTACTTTTTTTATGCCAATGTTGGTGACTGGAGATAACTCTCTTCAATTATTTCTAGGATGGGAAGGAGTAGGTCTTGCTTCATATTTGTTAATTCATTTCTGATTTACACGACTTTAGGCGGATAAAGCAGCTATAAAAGCTATGCCTGTCAATCGAGTAGGTGATTTTGGATTATTCCAAAGATGTGATCTTAGAGCTCGCTTACATTAAGTATACCATCAGTGGGAACTTTGCTTTCTGGTTGGGAAGTGTCTCTGTCCTTTTCACAGCTTATTACTCTTTTCGTTCACTTTTTCTAACATTTCTAGTACCAACTAATTCATTCGGGCGAGAGATCGTAAGATGTCATGATGTGCCCATTCCTATGGCCATTCCTTTAATCCTTCTAGCTTTCGGGAGTCTCTTTGTAGGATACTTGGCCAAAGTGTGACCCGTTAGCCTATAAGTCAGTACTGTGACGAAGCGGCTCTTGCTCACCCGACACGATCGTACGAGGTCACAATTCACCCAACACGATCATCGGTGGTGAACAAGAATTGGGGATCGGATGCGGGCGAAATTCCCGCCAATGGCTGAGATGTTCAGTCGACTCCCTCCTCCTTTGTGGGGGTCCGGACCCTACGAGTTAGCAGAAAAGGGAGGAGGAAAGAGGCCCTGGCGAACCGTCATAATTAGTGAACAAGTGTAAGCTTCGCTGCCCGACAATATGGAGTACTGACCACACCGAGGGATAGGCCCTGAAGCGAAGGACGGGAACGAGCGGAATCAATGTGTTCAAATTTCTGGCCTTGCACCGACCATCTAATGAACCATGGACTAAACGGCCACTGCCTGAAAGGACTATGTCCAGGGGACCGCCGCCCCCCACACACAAGGTACATCTTGCGCCTATGGGCCGCTATAACTATCCAAGAAGACACTCGAAACTGGAAGGATAAAAAACCCACCCGGTGGACTGCCGAGCTACAAGTCCCACGACACAGGAGCGGGATTCTCTATAAAGCCAAGGTCGCAGGTGGCCAAGAGGGCCCACTTGGAGACTTGGGATCTCAGCAGGAAATGCGAAGGTTGCAACAATGAAAGCCGACCGGCCGATAAGCGAAAGAGAATCTACTAGTCGAGTTCTGATTTGAGTAGGCTGATAATAGGGAATACTCTAACCCTGGGAACCGGACTGTGGCTATACCAAGCCCCATCTTTTTTGGTTGGGCTCGACAATTTGTATCTAACGAGATCAACAAAATTCTTAACGAACTAGTTTCATAACATAATTTTTATTATTGTCTTCAAGGACTTGGTTCTAAAAAAGAAGAAAGAAGAGAAGAGTGGGTTTCCTATTCTTCTGGTGTAAGCAAAGAACGTACAACAACTTTAAATGTATTTGAAGCAGGTCCACTAGAACGTGAGAAATTCAAAAGGACGACAACTATCTTATTCGATCATGAAGGAGTTGGTCTAAAAGATCATCCTTGAGGAGAGAGTGGAAACATATACAACCTTGGCCTATGGATTTCTTAACCTCGGGTCAGCCAAAGCGGCCCCTTCAAATCGGTCAGTATTCTGGTGGGTCTACCTAGTGCAGCGTGAGCTAGAAGGATCTTTCGAGAAATACCTGATGTTTAGCGGATATGTTTTCATATTGGGTTTCGGACCTTATTCACTGGCCTTATAAGAGCTCCCTCGATCTTATGCTCACCATGTCCCTTGTAGTAGGTGCTTTTTCTTTTTGGGCACTGGTACCCCAATCCATTCTCGAAGTGGACTCGACCGCCGTCCAAGATCCCAACAAAGCTGCAATGCGTAAAGAAACCCAATTCGATAGCCCTAACTTCGTTGCCCAGAGGATATATATCACTCTGACCAAGAACATACTGAAAGAATATCATGAGCTGATAGGGGATCAACATATCGAGGATCCTCGGACTGAAGTAAGGAAGCGAGCATTCGCGTATACGTTAACTTCGATAAACATTGGTTTAATGCAAGATTCGGTGTGTACTTCCCACCTACATATAGGCCATATAGAAAAGGAGGAACAATGGTCCAATCTAAGAGAAAATCGATTATTACCTTGTTACGTGAGGAATCTCCTCGATGCAAAAACAGAATGCAAAATAGAATCATAAAAGCAGAAGAAAATCAAAGAAAAACTCAATTCATATCAGATCAAGAGAAAGAAAATTAAGAAAAGAGACCAATAGAATAGGTGAAATCAGGGACAGGATTGAATATGCTTTTCCTTGTTCAATCAGTCTTTCATATGCTCAACTGTAAACTCCAGGGACAGGAAAGAAAAGAGACCTTGTTTACAGTTCAAGAAGTCCATTAGATTTGAATGTGTATAGCATATGTCCCTACTGGCACATCCAATCAAACTTGCTCTTGGCTGCTTGAAAACTTGGCTTTATCACACTAGATAGCGGGGAACTTTACGATCACTTTTAGAACTAGTAAGAAAACTAAATAGAACAGGGTTTTCTTTTCCCATAGGTTTCTATCTATCAATTACGAGGGTAGGTACATCCAGTCAAGTAATCAAAGACTTGGGCAATACCGCATACCAAGACTGAACAACAAACAACTTTCCTTCCGGGTGGTCTACCCGTCTCACTTGCTTAGTTGACTAAGGTAAGGTAGCTTAACCTTGAAGAAGGGGCATTTCCCTCTCGTCCTATTGTGGTAAGGTATCAGTCAAGTCTTGGAAGCAAGCAAGTCTCTTAGTGAGTATGGTAATCTGGTCTGGATAGGCAATCTGGTTGTCTGATTGTGTAGCCTCGCAGTCCGTCCAGCCTAGCTTCCTAAGAGTGGTCGATGTCGGCTAAGTTCCTTTTCTTTTGTTTCGGGCAAGCTTTCTCTTGTAAGCATAACTCCCCCTCATTTCCCCTATACTGAATCCTACCGAGAAGTAGAGGAAGTAGTCTTTGACTGAGTCCCCTAGTCTTCCATTTGATTCGGTCCTAAGAGCGGTCAAAGTCGTATCAGGTTTAGTTGCTTCTTTTGCTTGAGTTCTTGTCCATTCCTGAAGGAAGGAATTCTGTTGTTGCTCCAGTGAGCGATTTCTCTTTCCAAGCCAATTCTTCGATTGGAGTATTCCTCTAGTCGGCTTTAGATTAAGGTTCACTCCTTTTTATTTCCTTGAGAATGAAAAAGTCCTCATCCTCACCCGCAGCAAGAGCAAGGACTGAGTTTTCTTTCTTTTTTTTTTTCCCTGAGCTTGAAACTATATAAACAGCAGCCCTGGACAAATTCCTTATTGTACAAATCGGAGAAAGGTACTCAGAAAAAGGTGTGTGTGATCGAGTCTATGTGCTTTCCTGGTGGATCACCATCTCTGATGCTTTCTTCTGTGTATGGTAGGTATGATTTTTTGTGTATTAGCGTATAGAACTTCTCTGTCTTTTTTGTGGAATGGAGAAAAGGGGCTTGACTTTAGGCCCAGCCGATCTTGGAAAACTAAAGAAGGAGTTCCAGCTTGGAGATTAGCTGCTATTCTTTAGTCCTATCCACTTTTACTGGATCAAAAGAGGTCTATACGCTTGGTTGACCGCTGATTCTATTTTGCATTCTGTTTTTGCATCTTGATCCGTGATTAGGGCTTTAGTTCTTCTTTGTTAGTTTTTCAAATCTCTGGAAAGATTCTTTCTCTGAGGGCGTCGTGCGCCAGCCCGAACTGATCCGGTGAGGGTAACAAGACTGACTCCATCTGTCTCTGAGATCCGAGAATAATGTATGCCATATATATCTGGAAATGTTAATCGATTTACGGGAATATTCCCTACTGCCCTTTTGCCGGGGTTTCCCCGTTAATGATTTCATCTTTCGGAAAGAGACTCCCCTGGCTATGCTTACAATTTGACTAGCGGTTTCCGAGTCAAATAGCTGGACTGCCATAAAAGAACCTTGATTGATTCCCATTGTACTCGCCTACTATACTGAAACTCCTGGATCCGAAAATGGAGCCAATCATTCTAACAAATCTATAAGAATATGCTCAAGGGTCCCTCTTTTTGCTAATTGAAGGAGGTATTCCTTTCGCTTGGTAAGCAAGTTGGGTCGATATTCTTAGCTGAGCATCCCCCCTAGAGCCAGAACACAGGGGCCGACCTCTAAGCTTTTCATGAGCACCGGCACAAGTGAATAAGAGAGGATCACGTCTCCGAAGGTTGCGGTATCACCGTCTACAGGTCGAGTGAAATCGAAAGTGCAAATACTCTAAGCCGTGTGAATCAAGAAATTCGAGTGATAGACGAAGGCGTTGGTCCGTGCCTTAGGGGCAATCATCCGCGCTAGTGTATAAAAAGACATTTGAAATTCTTACACGAGGAGAGCTTATGGACAAAAAATGAGGATTCCAGCGGCTTTTGCCACTAATCATCAGTGTTCACAAGAGCAAGACGGTTCAATGTCTTACAATGTTAAAGCAGCCAGCATTCTTGTCGGAAGGATTTTTTAGGAGGCCGAACACCTACCGGACCTGAAGGATGGAACAAGATGATGAAGATGCCACAAAGAAAGAAGAGGGAAGATATGGAGGAAAATCTAGGAAGAGAACAAGGAGATCTCTGAAAAGGGAAGGCAAGTAAGTAGTAGTAGAAATGTTGAAGAGGAGACAACCCGCTCTTGAACTTCAGACTATGCGCGTCGCGTGCTCGATCTAGCAATCTTGGACAATTGTTTTGATGAACTCTCACTAAACTCAAAAAGAAAGAAGAGAAAGAGCTTGGAGTTGGGGCCTACATAACAGGTTGCTTGCTTACTAAGCCATCCTGGCTTCGCTCCTTCCTCTCGTCAACTCGGTAAAGCAATTCCATTGCCTGAACCTATTCTATTGGTCTCATTGCTTCGCTCCTCTCCTCTTCTCGTCGAGCATCTTCGCTCCTCCAGTTCGATTATTATTCTTGACTTATTATTATATATAAAAACGACTCACTATCAAAATGAAAGATGATCAATTATCTACCCAAGAAGATAGAGAGTCCTACATACGAGAAAAGATCACAAATAGAGTTAAACCAAGTAAGATTGCAAAGGCATAATGATAGTAGGGTCGGGATATCCCCGCCCTCCGAACCGGACGTGAAGGTCTCCCCTCATCTGGCTCTCTGCAGGGGAATCTCCACTCACTGCTTCCCCTAATATCTTCCCTTTACCACATCATGGGGGTTTACAGGAGATCCTAGAGGCTCGCTCGGAAAGGTTGCTAGACCATA